CTTCGTTACATGGTATGCCGGTCGACCAATCACCTCAGTGTTCCTCCCTCAGTCGTTCAGCCTTAGCACCCTTTCGGTGCCTTAATGCCATGCCACCCAAAGGTCGCACGAGAGTTGGGATACTGCCAGGTTTCTCAAGCCTAGACAGAGGAAGTCGAGAGGCACAACCATGTGAAGGGTGGAAAGGAGCCAGGGGAGACTAAGCAGTGACTTGACAGCAAAGTAGGAAAACTAGGAAACTCAGCTACGCTGGGTATCGCGGTTCGTTTGGGTTCGGACCCCTGAGATGGGACAGGACAAGAGTAACGCGCCGTCGGACATGGCTCATTGCGCGCACGCGTCTAAGCTTCCTCTTCCTCCTCTTCAGTTAAGTCTGCTTACACCGTTGTATTTACGCATCAATTACATCAGCTACCGCCTCCAATACCAAACTAACCCTGCCTCTCCAGAACATTGGTATCACATTTGCATGCGGCACCTACACCGAACGTACAACTGCGCAGTTTTTGCAGCTAATGATGCCATCTAGTTAATCAACCCAAGTCCCTGAAGCTCTGAAATTCATTAGACCTTTAGGTGCTCAGCTGCAACGCCACTCGAGGGAAGTATAGGGGGAGCTGAGATACTGCCAGTTGGCCTAAATCTAGACAGAAGTCAATACCACGATTGTGTCCGGAACTCGGGGGTCTGAATCTGCACCCCAATCACTAAGCGAGCTCAAGCGCAATCCATGGAACCTGGAACACTAGAGGCACTGCACGCTAACGACATGGTAGTTTTCTGCAAGATCAACAAAGTGGAGGAAAACTACTTGAAACTGTAGCCGGATAAACTCCTTCCTGATGAAGGGTCGCGGGATAGATTTTTTTGCCTGAGTCAAGACTCAGGAACCTGAATGACAACTGGACGCTTAGCATTGGGTAAACAACACCTTGTATCTGTGCGCATATCAGGGTTCAATCCTGGAAAAGCCTCGGTGGTCACATGAACACGGTTGAAAAGTGAAGAGGGCAAAACTGCCCGACAGATAGACTTCGAAGACACCCTTCTCACGAAAACGATGAATGCAGGCTGAATACACGAAAATCAGAAGCCAGCAAAGAATTTAGAAAACTCCACAAGCGCATTTGGAGTAAACGCACCCTGCAAGTGAACGATATCGCAGTGTGCCGAGCTACCGAGTTGACCGCAATTCGTGCAGCGATGTACAGACGGTCATCATTACCGAACCCTCGATTGATTTGAACCTTGATTGATTGTCTGTGGAGGATCATGTGCATACATCGTCCGATGAGTCTCGAGTACTCGTCTTCAAGAAAACAAAAAATTTAAGAAACCAAGAGCAACCTGAATACACCAGCTACGCTGGCTAGGCCATGGAACGCAAGACATTGGATTGCACTCCCAAGTGAGACTGCATATGTACTCAGGCACCCACAGTTCAACCGCTGTCGACGGGCAAGTACGCGTCGGATGCCAGCTGAGCATGCGCACCCCCTACATGGTCATCTGACGTCATATGCCTGCACAGATGTCACTGTGATTCTCACGAGTCTGGTTTACTTCATGGCCATGTGTCTATGAAGGTCAACCTACGGAATCCCAAGTTCGGCGTTCTTACTGGTGATTGCGACCATAATCCTACATCCGTGACCCAAAAATGTGCTGCCAAACGCTCAGACAAGTGTTGAACCTCTCCGCTCCCAAGTCCCCCATGCGATCCATGTAGTTAGAACTTCCGGAGAAATCTGAGCCAATACACCTACAGTACAGGAATTATACAGATGCCCGCATTGAAATGGTTTGTTAATCCTGGGCTTAATATCAAACGGGTTCCAGACCAAAATGGTCATTTAAATCAATACAGAAACAATAGATCGGCGGGCTCCCAGATCAACAGTTTTAATATAGTAAGTGATGGGCACTTCTGAAAAATATCCACCCATTCATGCTCGATAAAACTAGATTACAAAGGGAGTTTGTTCAGACTAGGGTTTCTACATCGTGTGCGCACCTCCGTGAGACTTAAGAAGGCATATTATCCGGAGGAGCAAATCCTAATTGAACGAGATTATTCTCAATGTTTCCGACGTATTCCGTCCCCGGATCGCTAAAGGAGCATCAGTATTGGGACCGCTGTGCTACAACGCAACTTGGAGATGCATTCCTCTAAGTGAAGCCAATCCACGCTGAAAAGCCGAGAAGCACTGTACAGCTGTTTCATCCTTATTGGAAATCATCAGCAGTGCGCATCTCACGAAACTCCAAAGAGTTTCTAACCCGCGACCTCCCGGCTAGTAGTTTGAACACTTAACCGTTCGGAAGCGAGTTAATCACACTGCTGATCAGCCACTGGTGGCCGAACGATTAAGCGTTCAAACTACTAGCCGGAATGTCGCGGGTTAGGAACTCTTCGGAGTTTCGTGAGATGCGCACTGCTGATGATTCCCAATAAGGATGAAACAGTTGTAGCGCTCCTCGGTTTTCAGCGTAGATTGGCTCCACTTACAGGACGAAATCTCCACAAAAATCCCAAATCTCCTCACACTACCAACAATGCATTCCTCTTTGAAACTAGTACACTGTGTTTCGGAGCGACATAATTATCCACTCAAGTTTGCGCGACACGCTTCATATGTAACCAATCATCCTTTTACGTCGACCGTTTGAATGGTCCATGCGTTGTGTAAAGCAGTCTAGTAGCCGTGCCATATAGGTGCAAAGTGGGCTTTGAGGGTAGAAATCTATGGTAAAGGTCACGTGGGGATGGATGACTAACGCAAACCGATCGCGTCTCACGCGCCTTGGCATAACAAATGACCGAGCAAAGCAACGCCCAATTATCCTGCAAACTATACTGGTTCTTCGATTTGTAGGACAGTATTCTCATGCGCTTAAGTTTACATTTAGCTGTCTGGGAACATTGATGTACCCCAGAAATAAACGCATCAGGGTAGGAACCGATATGCCAAGCATCTGAAGAACCGAGCTCACGTGGTTCCCTACGAACCTCAGACAGCGTCAGGGCCTTGGTAGACTAAACTAGTAGCTGACTGAGTGCGTCCGTGATGCATTTTACGAATGTCAAATCGAACTATACCGATGCGACAATAGAGAAGATGGAGACGCTTAGGCTTACCATCTCTGGTGAACGTCCAAAACTGCAATGTAACGACAGTAGTCTTCAAGTTGTCTCAACCGTTTTAGAGCATTGCTGAGTTCACATCGTAACACGATGTTGAGCCGCAGCTGTTCCACTGGTTTTATCCATTTCAAGAACAAACACCTTTGGCTCAAAGAATAAGGTTCCGACGACTTGGTGGTCCCGAACCCCCGTGGGTAGTTCAGTGATTGCAATGCCTAGGATGGAAACTAAAATCCCACCTCCAGTGTGGCTACATTTGAGCTAAATGCGGCAAGCATAAGCGAGGTAGAACACCTATACGAAATTGAACCGTATACGGGTCCTCAATCGTTATCCAAAGTGAGGAAATTGATATCTTCCTCCTCAACTCAAACGCAGGTCCCTACATCCAGATAAAAGTGTCTGTGCCATGACCCCAACCAGCAGCCACGCAAACACCTTTCCAAGAATACTGCACTCAGACTTTCCGTGAAGTAGTGGGAGGATTTGCTTTTGTGTCATCATACAAAGTCATTACATGCTGTAGCTGTCCAAAACAGCTACCACTGAAGATCTTTATTTCACCCAGCAGGGAAATCGAGTATTAGCCATCCGTTAGTAATCCCCACCCTCAGTAGCAGTAGGGTTTGTTGGTCAACTAGGATAGACTAGGGAAGGATGATACACTCGCATGTTCCACCTTGTTCAGTCGTCATAGGATGCGGTGGCCTATCACACTTTGCCCTGCCAGAAACCTCGACTGCCCAAAAGTATCCAAATAAGTAGCGCTCTTACAGTGAGTTCCTGACCTCTGCCACCCAAGCGCTACCCAAATTCCCAGTGAGCATCAGATGCGTCGCACCAGGTTAGCACCCCTACCGCGATCTCAGCCACCGAATGGCATTGGCTACACAGGTGGCCCAACTGTTTTCTCCACTCATTAAAAGCTTAAGATCATTTACCTGAGTCGCTTTCTTCGCTACTATTAGGTGAGGCTAGCGGTGGTAATACGAATCCATTAACCTCGTCAAAACCGGTGTACAGCAAGGCATACGCCTGTCCTTCCTGTCGGAGTATCAAGCTCGACAGAAACGGCTGTCTAGCTCGTTAAAGCCTAACTCGGGCTGCTGGGAAACCCGTCTTCCTGCAAAGCGGCACCGAAGTATAGCGCGTTACAGACTGTGACCAAATGTCTGTAGCGTACACTTCCAGGCTTCTCAAACAAAGCATGAATTACGCCTCTGGATGTAGTTGCATCGAGAGTATCAAGAGGCAGCTGAATTGATATTCGGTACAGCTAGCAAAGGCTGGTGCCCAGGATGTTTGCAGTCTGTAGGACTGGATGCGAAAGGACATGGTGATTGCTTCCCAACCGTAGAACACCTTGAAGCCAATTGCATTACGTCATACACCAGTAATCCGTAGTGTCGCCGCTGACTACATTAGACCACGTGCCCTATTAACCGTTAACCTACTAGCTTCAAGACTTTGCCGCGATTTTCCAATGTTTTGCAAGTCACAGATGTGTGGCTTTGTTCCCTAGGTAGGCTACAACTATCAAAGAGCGTTCAGTGCCGTACGCAAAGACCAAGTAAATGCCTGGTGACATAATAACACGGACGTGAGTCTATGACAAACCATATAACGACACAAATCAACGGACGCAGATAACACACAGAAGTGATTCCCAACGAAAATTATAACCTTGGTCAAAATCATCCCAGCGACAATTGGATAAGACGAATTTGCTACAATAATCCATTACACACAATATAGCTCTCGCAGGCCCCCAAGACTTTCGAATTGGGCCCAAGACAGCTTTTGAAAGACATATATTTGCGACATGAGCGATGCAAACAATAATGCAGGAACTCACATTCTTAACGCTCTCTCGCCACGGCAGGTCATCAGGGGTTCTGCTAAGAGTAGTGAGCACGGGGAAAGAAGGGAACATACGGTTTTTTCTTCTGAACCTCAGTAGTTAATTTCGGAACTCGCCTCACAACAATGCTGGTATATTTGGGAATAAGCTCGTCATCTTTGTTGTATGCTAAGAACGGGTAAGCGAGAAAGTCGACGAGTTACATTTGCCGTTAGTATCTTCAAGTTTCAAATCGAAATCGGTCGAATGCAGACAACACTTAGTTCGTATAGCGTTTTTCAGGTCTTTCACGGAGATGGAGGAGCCATCGAACGGAATTGAATCGGTCTTGACATTCGCCTTGAACTTGAAGTACACGATCGACGACATCAAAGGGCCGAGGAAGTGAAAGTGAAAGCGACAATCAATAAAACAAGAGTCACGTTGGTTCAGATAAACATGTCTAAGGGAAACACCGTGGACCGTTCCATGTGCTACGTACAGTGGGAAAAAAGTGACGAATTTCAGTGTTCTACTGGCTGACATAATACTTCGAAGTCACCGGTTCTGGATTCGTGCCTTTTTTTTACGCGCGGTACGTTCGAAATAGGTTTCGGTTTTCCCTCGTGCAAATATGTGAAGGAATTTTTTTTCGTTGTTCAACCTATTCACAGAGTATACACGAGTAATTGTTTAATTTTATTACTCTAACAAAACATTTGAGAGATAACCCTTGATATTTTGCACACACTTCCTATTTAACATCTAGTCCTAAACATGACATCAATTTATACTGATTGCCCTCTGCAGCCATTAATAGACCACAACAAATGTGGGCGAAGTGACTGCCCGTCGAACGTCAAACGCGGTATGCAACATCACACCTGCAAGGCCTGGTGGCATTTCAAATGCACGGGTTTACATGACGACAAGATAAGCCGACTAGCTAACTTTCCTCGTTTGTTTGTCTGCGCCAGCTGCCTCCATGTTAAGGATGCAATGCATGCCGCAGCCAAGAGTGGAGCCTCCAAAAACGGTACCCAATCCCTACTGCAGATTCAGAGAGACCGACGTCAGTGTTCCGCTTTGATCGGGATACTCGACGCGAAATAGGAGCGTCTTTCAAAGGCACTGGAGGATTCGGACACTAAGAACGCAGTGACTTGGACGAAAGCTGACGGAAATTTCTTCGCGAAACGAATGCCTCGCGATATCCATACCGGGTCCTCTGACTGCGAAGAAAGTCGTACAACCCTCTGACGTGTCTATAAAGACCGCCACAGCGTCTCTAGTGGACAGACGCCTAAAGGAAAACAGACTGATAATCTGGGGGTCATTCTCCAGAAAAATCACGCCAACGAAGCTGCCACAGTCGATCCTTAGCAACATCCTCCTGATAAATCGCTCCACGCAGAGTGGCTACGCCAGAAGGGAAGTAAGCGAACCTTTGGACATCTAGTCACTCGTTCTTCCCCATCTGACGTACGGGAGAACTTGGAGCGGGCTGACAACATTCAAAAGGCCGACCCAATGATCAGACGCCTATCTGAAGGTCTCCCCTAGACGCGACTAAGCTTGGTCATAGCAAGCCAGGGGTGGAAGCACGAAACAGGTTTCCACCGGGCACCAATTCAGCCGACCCCAAACTCATGATCAAGCCGATTGTGGTCATATACAACTGTGCTCCCGAAAGAAGGCCGACGAAACCAGCTGCGTCTCCGAACAGCAGTTTTAAATCGAACACCGCAGGCCTCTCGCCCACCAAAGTCAGGGACGCTTTGAGGGAGGCGAACATCACATGCGAGCAGCACCTAAACTACGTGGGGCTATGAACGCGTATCTCCGTAAAAGGCGACACACCGGCAGCCATGCACTCCTCAACAAAGTCAAAGCCTCTGAACTGGACTGAGTCACATGTGCGGGGACAATCAGCAAAGCCAATCTCCAGCCCCACTCCGTCAAAAGCGGCCTCTCTGCTTGTGGACACAACCGTCGCCCAGCACCCACCCAACCAAAGCCATAAACATGACCACAGCAACCCGGAAAATACCTCGTACACCCAGTTGGCCTCGCCGATGGCAAGCGGATCGGGTGTCCACAAAAACACGAAACAAGGGCGACTGCAACCAAAAAAGCCACATAAAACCCACCAGATTAGAAAACTGCTGGCTGGCTTCAAGGTGCAATCCTCCGCGAAAACGAGCCTCTTGAGAGCGCCAACAAAATCATTACCTCTTAGTGCCACCACCCAGCGCTCAAGACCTCGCAGAGACATTTTTCCGGTCAAAGCATGCCGCAAGTCTTTGAGCAACAGTGAATCTGGTCGCCAAAAAAGGGATGCTGAAAGAGCTGCAAACAGCAACAGTCGAAATTTTCGCCCACGAGGAAAAACTCCGTCCCCCAAGCCAAAAGGCCCGAGTAAACCGGGCTCTCACGGAAGAAAAAAACCTCGCAGACGAAAAGCACCCCAGAAACCACGAAGACAAGAAGCAGGCGACATCGAACCAGAGGCCCCTTTGGAGCCTTGGACTTCAACCCGGCGCAAAACTAATAAGTCTGCTCACCAACCTGGTCACTCAACTTTCAGCTCCTCACACTCGCAAGCAGCACAGACAGTGTTGAAATGCTTGTCCAAAAACTGCCTCAGCCATTTCAACAACCTCGGCGATGTTAAACAGTCAACTTGCCTTGAAAAGCCGTCTATAATCGCAATCACACAGAACAGGCTCTATTTTTCGAGCTGACTCAAGACGAGGGAGGGGTGGCAAGGTTGCTCTGTACTTACATGCGGCCCTACCAATTCCGACTGTCCTCTCTGAGACCACCCCTGCACACTTTTAAGCCTCCTGGATGGAGCTCAAGCGCGTCGAATCAGGCGAACATTTGCAGCGGCGCTGAGTGGAATCGTTCAGCGGAGCGCTTGGACTCAACATGTCGTTGCACCCACCAGATACCGCGAAGGCCAACTACCGTCCCTCCTGGATTCGGTCGTCACCAACGAAAGGTACTTCGTTGATCAGGTAACAATTAACGCTCCACTGGGACATAGCGATCGCTGCGTGCTGACCTTTGATTTCAACTGCTATTGGGTCAGAAATCACGAACTCAAATGTGGTTTGGATTCTTCTTACGTGCAGACTTCTCAGGAATGCGCATCTTTCTTCAACAAGTCACACCGGGACCAGCTCTGGTGGAAGAAATATATAGGACCATTGTCCAGAACGTTCACGAGGTTGACGCGACGGTCGTCCCAAAGAAAACCGGCACGCACTCAGATGAACCGTAAGATGCCAAAAAGGATTCGAAAACTTCTGGAAAAAAGGTCTCAACTCTATTTCAAAATGACACAACAGTGGTATCTGAGGTTTACAAAGAACACTATGTGTGTCCATACTCAGCCCAGCGCCCTCGTCACATCCACTCTTGTCAAGGCAAAACTACGAACAGCCTCTAACCGACTTGGTCTTCACGGTGGATTACATTCGTCAACTCTAGCACAAGATCAACCCATTCTGCGCGT